GTTTTGAAAGGAAATGTGTAGGTGAATACTCTATAATAGCATTTAAGGCTATGATGTGATTCATGTGTGACTAATTCAGGTGCATTGGACAAAGCTATTTTTGACATCCCAGTGCTAGTTAGGATACGAGTATATGTTTCAAATGTTGCATGTGAGGAAAATAAGTTTATAGGTACCTTCACTAGAAACCTTCACGAGAAAAAACCAGTCCACTAGGGATCACCTAGGGATTTAAAAGTTTGTTACATATGCTAAATGCAATTGCAGAATTAGTATAGGTTTATTTTTGTTTGCTTAATTTTTACATTTAGTTTGCTAGCGACTAGCAAAGCTTAAGTTGGGGGGTGTGATGAGCTCGTAATATTGCGTATTTAATGGCCTCATTACATGCATTTTAACTCAACTTTGCATTTAATTACTTAGAGTTAGTCGAATTTATGAATAATGCTGAAATCTTGATGTTGCAGGTAATTATAGCGTAAATGATGGATTTCGGAACCCGACAACTAAGTGTGAATGAGTGGTGAAGAGATGGACACATTACATGAGGATTGGGAGGCTTTAAAGTGAAAGAAATCAAGTAGGTAGTGGTATTTGGTATTATAGGCACCGGTATCTAAGCTTACTTGAATTTTGGTAGCGGCACTCGCACCATTTGGTATTGGTACATCTGTTTTCCCCAATTTTTAACCATGATCCACTTTGAATATGAAAATTTTAAAAACATGCAAGTTGTATATATGGATGTTCTCTGTATTTTATCAAAATTTCAGCTCAATCCAACAGTTGAATCAAAAGTTATGATAAATTTACGAAAACTGGTCCTGAGCTAGCATCTCAATTACGACCTACCAATAGAAGGAAACCAAAACCTACCGGTAGGTTTTGCCTACCAAATGAAAATCTACCAGTAGTTTTTAGCTACTGGAGTAAAACCTACCGGTAGGTTTGGCCTTCGACCTACCGGTAGGTTTTGCTGAAAAAAGCCAGGTTCTACAACTCATCCTCCACTTGTTTAGGGGGCCCACCATTGCTTCTCCCACACATTTCTTGACATTGTCTACATACAACCATGCCTACAAGACCCTAGTTGCTGACTTTTGAGGATGGAGGATGGGAAATGAAGAGAGAAAAGAAGGAGGCACAGTGGGTTGCAGGCTAGGCTTGTCCTAGCCTATCCAAAGCCATCAATTCACCGCCCATTGATGGGAGGCTTGCACACACATGCTAGAGGATCCCAATGGACGAAAATGCAGAGGTCTTACACCATATATTTAGCGTCACACAAGCTTTGAAAGCGAAGGAGGCTACCTAAGCTTAGGAGTATTTTTTAGAGAGATAAGTTCCAAGGAAGAAGATGTAGTTTAGAGAGATAAAGCTTACATTTTTGCATTGTCTTCAACCATTTCAGTTGTAATAAGTTGTACTTTACTTGTAATCTTCATTTCTTGCATCGTAATCTCCTTTATTTCAAGTGCAATCAAGTTTAATCCATTGTTCTTACATTTTCACATTTTCTACTTGGTATGCTCTACAAATTTTTCATTTTGGTATGAAATGAATTTCTCTTTGTAGTTTACTTTTTCTTAGATTTAATATATGTTCTAAGTTTCATTCTCATCTCTATTTCATTTCCATTTCACCTACATGTCTCCTTACATTACAAATGCTTTTACATTAATTATGAGTAGCTAAGCTTTAGGTTGGCTAATCCAAGGGAGAATTCCTCTTGGGTATGCTAAATCAACTCTTTTTCATTCCTCCTTGTAGTGTACGATGGTTCAATTTGACTAGGTTGAGTGTGGACATGGTTGTGAGTTATTGATATACTGTAGACTTGTCACGGGGTATGCTTGAATCCTCACCTCCATTTTAGTCTCTCACTTCCTACGAATCAATCAAACGTCTAAGCACCATTAGATGAATGTCTTGAGTTGATTTGGTATTCCCTTCCACTAGGGATCACCTTGGCCAAACGATTCTTGACCCATAACTTGTCAGATGGGTGATGCTAGTGGAAGATCTTGTTTCTACTTTGGCAATCTGGCGAAGGTATGTTTTTGAGAGAGAGAAGTGCTAGATGGTGGTTCTATGCCTATATGTTTTTTTTTTTTGGGGGGGGGGGGAGGGGGGGGGGAGGGGGGGGGGGGGGGGGGGGGGGGG